TTTAAGGGGGTTTGTTTACAAATTGTTATTGGTTATATCAACAAAAGATGACAAAAAATTAAATTCAGAAATATCTTTCTAGAAGAATAAAGGGGAAATGATGTAGAATTGAATGGGGCGAAAGGTAGATTATTATGATTGAAAAAATGGTGTTGAATCTACTTTAATCCAAAATATCAAAAGTATTTTTCATTATATAGATTTTGGTTTATTGATACAAATTTAAATTTAATTTTGTATATGTATATCTCTACTCTGTTTAAGATATTATGTTAATACAATTCATTTAAAATGTAATATAAGAAATACAGATTTATAGTCATATATAGTAGTCTATATTAGTCAAACTTATAGTCATGTTAGTTAGGTTTTCTAGGTATGTAGACATATATTTTAGAGAGATAGGTAATCTTCAAACACTTCAAAGACCTACAGAAAATGGCATTTAAAATGGTTTAATAACTTAGACTTTTCATGACAGTAAGACACGCCTCCTCCTGGCAGCACCAATGTACTCCATAGAAGATGATGGACATCAAAGAAACTCTGTATGGAGTTAGTTTTCTTTATGGCAAAAGCTAGCCATATGGACAAAGAAACTACCCTTGCCTCAATTGCTGACAGTTACTGTTCATACAGGATCAACAAGACACAAGAAGGGTGACTGTTGAACTTTCCCAAGACAAGGTAGGACAGTCCTTCAAAATTTCTTGCTTCACAGGGAAGTCTGTCAGATATGCTAGAACTGTAGGTCAAAGATGGATGCCCCAACATTACAGAGAAACTTTGGGTGACTGTCCAGATAGCCTGATGTTCCTGCCATTAGGTAACATTTCATCCTTCTAGACACTTTGATGGAGTTGAAGTCTAGATAGTTATAATTTTTCTTTGTTATGACAAAAGAATAAATTAGACATAAAATTTTGGACTCACTAAGATAGGATGAATAATTAAAAGTTTTCTCTGATTTTGCCAAATACAAATAGACTGTATATTGTAACTGTTTTGTTTTATGTAATTTTACTATGTTAAAATTGAAACCTTCCTTTTTGATTAGACAGAAAGGGGAAAATGCTGTGGGATAATCCTTCTGTATGCTATGAAAATGTATTATTTTCATTGGTTAATAATAAAGCTAATTGGCCTATAGCAAGGCAGGATAAAGTTAGGCAGCACTATCAAACTGAGGATTGGGATGAAGAAAAGGCAGAGTGGGAGAAGACACCAGCAAGTGTCCCAAGAAGCAAGATGATAGAGGACAGGTAAAGCCACGCGCCATGTGGCAATACATAGATTAATAAAAATGGGTTAATTTAAAAGTAAGAGCTAGTTAGTAATAAGCCTGAGCTATTGTTTGAGCATTTTGTAATTAATATAAGCATTTGTATGTTTATTTGGGAACAGACAGTTGGAACAAAAACCTGTGTCTGCACACTGGTGCTGGTTCACCAACTACAATGAGATTTCACTGCCTGGCTCTGGAGTACTGAATTCTGATAAACAGTCATGAGTTCTTACTAAAGATAATGACATGGGGCATGGTTGTCAAAATATCACAACTGCAAAGATAAATTTGCAGGTTAAAGTGCAGGTACTAGAAGCAAACATCAAGGCAGTACTGCAAAGACAGAAATCTGGGTTTCAGCAGAGTAAATAAAGAATAGAGAACATAATGGTTTGTGATGTGAACCCACAAGTAGATACATATTGCCTAGTTTGGTTGGAATCATAGGTTAAAAACTACCTCATCAATAGGTGAAAAATATTTTAATAGGTCTCTAGCTACTTTATGTTAAATAAATGATGCCATTAGAAGACTATTATTTGCATTTATGAATAACACTCATTAAAGTAATGTCTTAAGGTGACTAATTTTCACAAGCTGCATGACCATGCTTTTTGTAGATATGAACAGCAGTGAGCTAAAGTTATTAGTATTCACTAAATTCTGAGTTAGAAACTTGACATCACTTCCACTAACTCATCTTATTATGGGAGGGCATTGTAGTCAAACTTTTTATGTCCCTCCTGACAACTCCCAAATCATGGCACAGAAACTTATTGTTAATTATAAAAGCTCAGCCAGTAGCTTAGGACTGTTTATAACTAGCTCTTAAAACTTAAATCAACACATTTATATTAATTTACTTTCTGCCTCATGGCTTTATTACCTCATCTCAGTAGTGCTCATACTGCTTGGTCTGTATCTCATGGCATCTTGGCCTTTCTTCTTCCCAGCATCTTCTGTGTCTGGCTGCTTGCATATACCTCCTGCCTAGTTAATGGCCATTTAACTTTATATTAAGCCAATAAGAAAGCACCTTGGCAAAGACACATCTTCACTGAATGAAATAATGAAAAGATTATTCCACAACAGGACATGGAGCCTTGATTTTACTTGCTAAGTGATTGATATAAGATGACTTTTAATGTACGTTGCAAACAGAAAAGATTGGCTAATGAAAACTTTCTGAATAGAAGTATAGGCTTTGGACATCTACATATTTTTCAAAACAAGGATTTTAGAGCATATATATGGTTACAGTTAGGGTTTTATTTTGGTGTGTGTGTGTGTGTGTGTGTGTGTGTGTGTGGTATATTGTCAGGATTATGTTTCTATTGCTGTGATAAAAACACTATAACCAAAATGAAGATGGGGAAGAAAGGGTTTATTTGGCTTACAGGTTATAATACAACCTTCTGCTTACAATCCATAATCAGGAGAATTCCAGGCAGGAATTAAAGGCATGCATCTCAAAGCAGAAATGGAAGCAGAGACTGTGGAAGAGTACTCTTGGTTTGCTCCAAATAGATTGCTCAGCCTGCTTTTTTATGCCACCCAAGACAACATATGAAAGGGTGGCAACATCCCCAATGAGGTGGGTCCTTCCACACCAATAATTACTATAGAAAATGCCCTGAAAATTTGCCTGGAGGGAATCTGATTGAGGCATTTTTCTCAATTGCAGTTACTTTTCCCAGGTAACTCTAGCTTGTGCCAAGTTGACAAAAATCTAACTAGGGCAGGTGGTTTAGTATGCTTGGACTTATTTATAGTCCAGAATGAGGACAAGTATTAGACAGTAGAGTTATCCAAAATGAAAGACAAAGCCTTTTAGGCAACTGTTCCTCAGGATGTTATGGAATGATGCTTGAAAACTAATATTCTGGAGAGAATGAAGAACAAGGAGTAGTCACAAGTGCTGATTTCTGGTAGTTAACAAAATATTTTTTTATGACATTTTAGAACTTTCTGTGAAGTTCTAGAGATGTTTTGGAAATTCTCAGTAGCAAAACATACCTGAATTTGGGTAAGGGCTTGCAATGCAATAGGTGAATGGGAAGTAAATCCTTTAGCTACATATGGAGCACAGCTTCAAAATCAATACTTCTTAGTTAATGTAAAAAAGAATAAAGATGTCCCTTCATCTTTTAAGAATTCCAACTATACAAGGGTTTGATGCCTAAAATGAATGTGTCTACTGTACTATAATTAGATGATAAACATATTAAACTGCCATAATCTTGAAACAATTTTCATCATTTTAACAACACACTGGAAAATAAGTTCCTAGCAGAGACATGTTTTCAACGTGTAGCTCTCTCCTGGCAAAAGAAGTGAAAAAAGTCCCTCTGTATGCTTTTGTTAGGCATCCAGTCTGATTGATTTCCTCTGTGATGAGTAACTGACAACTTGCTTGTGATTTATGGATTTGGAGTAATTGCATTTTTTTGGCTGTCATGTACTTTGAGCAAGAAATATTACATATGTTTCCAGAAAGATTACTTAGAGAAGAAAAGAGTGAAGTGATGCCAAGTTCTGAAATTTTATTTAGAAACAACATTCTAACCAACTGGAACTTAAGATATTCTCCCTATATTTCTGAAACATGTTTGCTAAATAATCTTTGAAAATGTAGTTTGGGACATAAGGTTTAAAATGTGACATTTTTTGGTTAAGTTGAAGACTCAAGTGGAAAGCAGAGTAGATTATTTTCACTTACCCAAGAGCAAAAAAGGTGGTACTGAGGACTGGCTCATGACAATGTAGGCACAAACTTCTCCAGAAGCAGGAGGTCCACAACTGCTCATTTTGCCTGTCAAACATTAGATATTTCTACAAGCAGATATTTTAAAGTAGAAAAAAAGAACCATTCATTCTCTAAATCAAGTTCTTAGCTTTACCATAGGCAGGCCTACACTGCATTCACTGGCTTTTACTAGTTCTGATCAGTCTGTGGATGTGTTTGATCCACGCAGAATTTTTATTGACTGCAGAAGAGCCTGCAGAAGGACTGAGGAAGACACTGAAGAACTAAGCCATAACACCGTAGAATGGTGAATGTGTGGCTTAACCAAGTCAGTTCTGCGTTTGTGGACACCATTAAAATTGGCTGCACCAAATCATGTTCAAGTGTTTTCTACATGGTTCTAAATTGGGTAATATTACCCCAACTAGAAAAACATAAATATTTGTTAAGATACTGTTTGGGTGTTAGAATAACGGATTCATTTTTATGGCATTTAGAGCACATAAAATGGAAAATAATTGACTTGAAATATATAGGACACTCTTTAAAAGGAGTCATTGCCACCCCAAATGCTGATGGCAACTGATTTGAGAAATTGAAGTAGGACATCAGAATTTTCTTAAATATCGTTTAATTTGTGAAATTTGTAATCTCAATCTTGCCTACAGTTCTTTATGACCTTGTTGATATAGACCTTATTTCTTTCTAAATCTCAGGAGTTTTACTGTATTATAATCATTTTTCTTTTTCTATATCTTCAATCACTTCAAACTCTCTGCATTAGGACATTTTCTCTTCTTTTCTATGTCAAATAACCACCTTTCTGAGTTTCATTGTTCTCTGGCTCTGACTCCCTTCTTCATTCCCAGGAACCTGTCTCTTTGCCAGTGTCAGAATAGTAGTTTCTTTGCATATTTATTGAAAGAGACCATATTTGTACTATGAAAAGAACAAGGCTCATAGGCTCTGTAGTTTCAAAGTACATGGTTTTATTACATAAATATCAGGAGTCATCATACAACATTCCACTTTAAACACAGTTGTATGTGTATTGCACACATATACACATACAAATATATTTTAAATTCTCCAATAAGTGACTTCTGTTTTTTGCATATAAAACATACTCCACACCAATTTCACATTTATTTCCTAATTTAGTATCACATTATATTTCCTCAAGGGTAGGTATGTACTAAAACTATGATGTAGGCACTAACATTTTTGATTCCTTGTCTGTTTGTTTTCAAAATTAAAATTTCATTTACTTGCATAATTTCTTAACTTCCCCCATTTCTCTCAAGAATAAATCACTCCAATTTGAGTCAAGAAAACACTGGGTTGAAATAATTACAGTTAAAGATGTGTCTAGAATTGATTACATACACACTGTAAACTATTTAGATAACTGAAGAAATTGCTTCTCTTTTTAACTGTGTTTCAAAGCACTGATAGCCTACTTTTGTCTTTTAATCTGTGCTTTTAAAAATAAATTCAAAAGGTATTAAATGTGTTGATGTATTTTGATTCTGTATTTTACAACATATCTACAGAGAAATGCTACCACAAATTAGAGTCAGTGGTTTCTTCTTTAACAATGAAGCTACTTCCTGCATCAATTTGGTACAACCATATATACACGAGATTTCTACATTTTACAGTTTAGATATTTAGTGGCAATTATCATGCCTATGTGTGGCATGAAGTGAATAGTGATGATGCTTATTCATTATTTGAGATTAAATCTATGGACACTATTTGTAATATACCAGATGATGAAGTATCCAAACAAATGGAGGAGTCAAAACTTATACCAAAACCAAGTAGGGGTCAGCTATTTCTGTTCAGCCATAATTTTCTAAAAAGTTTATCTCAACAGATTGAATGATGACTTTGTCAAAGGCTCATGGTACCCTTAGGCCAAATTATTGCTGTTTTGTTAGCACAATGAAAAATGTCTTGCTTGTGATTATAATGTGTTCTCATACTGAGTACTAAAGATATCAATTTACCTGTGATTGAATAACTCATAAAAATGAGTTGAAATTTGTTTAGTTTTGGGAAGTAGTAAAAATATATAATGTAGTGTTACTCATTTAAAAATATTACTTTATATGTTGTCAGAGATTAATTTTCAGAAATATCTCAAAGTCCATGCTATTTACTCATTTATACATATTGTTAGCTGCTATTTTAATATTCCATTGTGGAAGAGAAGGATTGAATCTAGCTATATGAATGTTAGCTTATCTTTTAGTTTCCTTCTACTGAGAACTCTCTCAGATGTTTTGAATATATATACTTCCCAAACATGATCTTTCTGTATTATTTCATGTTAATCATCAAAGGACACAAGCCATTGAAATAAAATATAGCAAAGCTAGTAACTTCACTTAGAGTGGTAAATCATCTTCCCTTCTATACAATTTAATTTGGCTGAAAGTTATTTGAAATAATCATATCCAGAATAATCCTAAATAATATTTTTGTTTATAGAGACTTACATGATTGAAGTGATATTTATAAATCAATAATAACGATTACTTTTACATAAACACCATAATCACAGTACAATACCCAACAACTAAGTAATTTATATTTATACTTCAGTATTCATGATTACATCCTTACATAATATCACTTGTAATTTTTCACTTGTGGAAAAGTGCAAAAATATCATACAGATTCATATATGTAAGTCATAATTCTATCTACACACAATAGATTTAAGAAAAAGAAGGAAATGGACAAATAGAGTAGAAATTAACTATGTGACCTTGTGGGCTTAGAAATCTTTGAGCAATGGCCTTCCCATAACTGGTAGAATACCTATACCATCACAATTTTTCCTATTATCTATTTACATTCATGTAGCTATAAATATATGCTGTGTGTATTTTCTATATTTACAGTATATATACACCTATGTATGGACATGCAGATCAATCTGCACAGCATAATGAAAACATTTGTTTTCCTTACATAATATCACTTGTAATTTTTCACTTGTGGAAAAGTGCAAAAATATCATACAGAATCATATTTTTCTCTAAAAAATCACCATTGATGCTGTATTTTGTAATTTACAAATAAACTATGAAATATAGTTCATTCACAAATTGAAATTAATTGCAATGTTGTTACAACAAGGCATTACTGAGGTTTTGATTTTTAGCATACTTGAAGTCATTTGTCTTTCAAAACAAAGACATGAATACGTTATTAGCTTTTGATGTGTTTACCTTTGAACTATTCATTAAATATGCAATTACAATTCTAAAGCTCATGCTAGTCAAATGTTGTTTGTATACAGTATTTATCACTGCTGTTGCATTTATTGTTCTGAAAGAGTCTTCTTTACAAAAATGTTTCAGTCTGCTGAGAAGACTAAAGCTACAATGTTCCTGGAAAGTTTTCACCCTATAGAAAAGGCTAGAGGATAAGTGAGGCAAAAATTGAGAAGGTAAAATTTTAGTGGATTCTTGGGGGAAATAACAGCAAATGCAAGAAACATTTTAACTGCAGCTCTCAGGCCTTCAGCCTCTCCTGCCTCATAAACAACCTGGAAAATGTTCAGTTCTTTAAAACATTGATTGTACTCTTCCATTAATTATCAGCTGTGGTCCTCCATTGCTCATGTTGTCTGTCATTTCCTGTTAGCAAAATAATATGAATCAATTAAAACTCACTTTCAGAGTAAGACATTGATATGCTTAATAGAAAAACAGAGATTACAAGCCATTGAAGAACATTTTGGGGTAAAGGACAGCGATTGATACTGTTGCTGTGATTTAGGAAATGAAATTTCACGGTATTTGAATCACATGAAAATGTTGAAATGACAGCCCAGGCTTCCATATACAAATCAGTTCACTCTCTTTCCACATGCCCAAATTTACCCCTTTTTCTTCAACTCATTTTTGGAAGGAACTAATCTAGAAAGAAGATGCCTAAGTGACCAGGTTTTGCCAATATACAGCTCCTCTGCCAAGCACATCAACAAATGCCAACATATTCTACAGATGTTTACAGAAAAATGAAAAAATGTGTGGCTTTTTGTTTATGAATTTAAAAACGTTCACAGTGAGAAAGATATTTGTTGTGTTTAGGTTTTATTTTGTTTTGAAAAGGACTTGGAAATGTAGCCCGGACTGATGTACAACTCGAGTGTAGCCCAGAGTTACTTCAAACTTGCAATTCTTCTGCCCAGCCTTCTGAGTGTTGAGAATCTAGATGTAAACCATCATGGTTAGCTAAGAAAATTTTTTTATAATAACACTATCATTTATTCAATAAAAAAGCAGCTGGGGTAATGAAAATTTGGGCCATATTTTTAACATATTCATTACTAAGAAAGTACTAGGGAATTGTGCTTGTAAAGACATGGATATAGATACATAAAAAATAGAGTGACATGAAGACTTGCAATTGTTGAAAATATTTACATAAATTTTAGATAATTTGAATTCACATTGTTTATTGATTGCTTTTTGTCTATTTGTTTGTTGTGTTGGTTGGTTCATTTTGAGACAAGGTGTCATGTAGCCCAGGCTTGCTAGACATTACTCTATACTTGGGGATGGCCTTGAACTTCTAACCTATTGTTTCCACCTTTGGAGTTGGAGAAACCCAGGCATGTGTCACTTGCCTTGTCTACAAGATGCTCGAGATGCTTTACAACTTGGCCACATTCCCAGCCCCTGTTTATTAGCTACTAACTTTACATTATATGACAAGAAGTCACAAGATCAGAGACCCATTCTCATTTTTCATAGTGCACAGTATTATAGATAATATATTAGCATATAATATAAATATTATGTAATAGCAAAATTGTCTATTATCCAAGATTGACAATTCTATACTTCAACAAGTTGACTTTCTTAAAGGCAAAAAATCATTTCAAGAGAAAACTACTGTTTTTGTAGTCTTCTGCTTGCTGCCAATTTCTATTTTGTTTCTGTTGTGGAGGCTTCTAAGGATGAGTACAGTGAAAGTAGGTCTGGAAATGTGGGGGTCATTGGGCTGGTGTTAAGTTTATAGTGATAAAAACTGATTAATGGAAAGATTAACCAAACTCAATTCCCCAAATTATCATTATAAAATGAAGCACATTTTATTTGTTCTGCTAGAAGAGAAAGAAAACTTCCTAGTAAATGCATAGAAATAAGAATTTCAGCTATCTTTCCCATTCCCTAAAAAGATTTCAAATTAAAAACAAAAAAATAAAAACAACAGATATTTCCTAAATCCCATAAAATTAGAGTATCAATCTTTTAGTATAAAATTAAAAAAATCTTCTGAAATCTTATAAATTCAAGAATTTTCTTAACTAAAGCTACTCAAATTCAGACACAGTAAAATTACTGATAGAAAATAATAGTGAAAGTTAGTTTTAAATGGATGAGTCTCATCATTTCATTTGCAATTTGGTATTTCAAATTTTATAAGACCATACTCCTAATTTTGGCAAGGACAGACTTGATATTTATAAACAAATGTACTTCCTTCAAAAGGACTGCAAATGTAACTTTCTGCATTTCCAGTTATGCTCTTTGGCCAAACCAAGAGTCTCGACTATTATTAATAACTGGAAATATGGAAAATGTAGTATATCAGAGAACTTTACCAATAGAAACACTACATATAAACATTTTACTATATTAATATCAAACTTTAGTTATCTGTTCATGCAATTTTGTCATGACAGAAATATACAGTTTGTCTTTATCCAGACTCATCTATTATTAAACCAAACGTCTCATCTGTGAATTATGATACTGAGTCAGAATTGTGATGCAGCAGAGAACAAAGGGAATTATGAATCATCCAAGCAGAACTGTTCTTGGATGCTTAGAGGCAGGCTGAATATTTGAAATACTTAACCAACTTTGAAGCTGTAAGGTTCTGCCATGTAGGTTATATCTGCTCCTCAGAGTAGTCCTTCTAAAAGAGATACTTTGAGGAACATACAGCATCAGTCCAGACTGATCTGCTGACATCATGGCTTTCTAATAGAGGTAGGGCTTCCTGTGGCAACATCACAACATGGCAACTCCCTAGAAGTCAGCGTACCTTGTAGGTAACTCCGGTGTCGGGGGCACCACCGGGCAGCTGGGCAAGTCGGTTATTTCAATAGCCCTCAATCTCTAATGTAAATATAACAATTATACAATAAATATTGAACAAACATATAGGAAGAAAAGCTAAATAACACTAGCATAAAAATAGAGCATAAAGGAGACACTATCACAATATGCAATTATCTTTTACTATAAAGATCTATTTTTAAATGAAACAGTCCTATTTATAATGTCAATTTTTTTAAATTTTAAATGACATGTACAGGTATGTCTACAATTACTTCCTAGGGACAGTTAATGAGAATCTATTCTCCTTATGTGTAGGCAGTATATGGAATGAAGATAGATAAACTATAAAATAAATATTTCTTAACTTTAACATTATGAAGAAATATGCATAACTCTTGCTACTATTTCTTTTATGCTATGATTGTATAATTTTATTTTCAAGAAATAAATCAAAATATAATTTGTCCATTATCTTAGTGAGTTGATTTTTACAGATGTTTATCTTTTCCTCAATAGATGAAGTAACAGGAATGGAATTTAGAAATGCTTATCAAATGTAATTGGAACACACACAGCTCTTTCTATACTACTTGTTCCTTAATGCAGCTAATATAACTTTCTGTTTGAATAGCCTTCATAAAACAATTACGCAAGCAGCATTGTGTAAAATACAGGCAAAGCTAGCCAAATATGCATGAAGTTTAGATGAGTATTCAATGAAGCTTTATATGGAGTGCAATATCTGCACTGATAGACAAGGCTTTTTGTCGCCTTACTAAAGAGCCTCTTTTATGCTTGAAGATCCAATTTACATAATCAAATGCATCTACTTATAAGCACAAAGGATATACTGGAAAAGAGAATTCATGTGATTTCTAAAGATGGCATTATTAAGTGGAGGCTGTATTTAGTTTGTTTTTCCTCACTATAATACATGAAAATCCATATTTATAAGGTGCTTAATATTTTATGAAATACTATTTTAGGAGCAATGGTTTTGAATAGACAGAGGCTACAAAATCCTGCTGAAAATGGCTGTGCTTATGAATTGCCGAAAAAAACTAATTAAAAAAAACCTTTTATTAATCTAATAGGGTCAAACTTACAAAATGTGATTTCCGAATTGCCATCTAAGTTTGTAAATTGATTCACCTAGTTGTACTGTTCAACCCATGGCAGCAGTGTGAGGCAAAATGACAAAACTCACTTTCTCAGCCATTTCATGAGAGTGATGCAGGGAATGTTCCCTTTCCGAGAACATTCTCCTTTGCTCATAGCTGGCTAGACGACAAGTTAGCCAGGAGGACAGAGTGCAGCCCCCAATGCCAATACACGCCAAAGACATGGAAGCAAGGTGTAGTGGGTACAAGGATGAGGTCTTCTTTGTGACTGCCCGAAGAAACTGAAAATTCAGGATGCCTCCAATGAGTCCACAGATACAACAGGCTGAAAAGAGGATCATCTGAGAAAAAGAAAGAAGGTATTAACGTTGATAAGGCTGAGATTTCCAGAATATAGAGACTCATGATGCTGCAGGCCAAGGATGGTAAACCTACAGTGAAGAGGATGTGTTCTCTTTGGTTATAAGAAGGTAGGATAGGTATGCCTGTCAGTGGAGACTCCACTCAGTCTGACTCACTGCAGAGGAAGTATATCATAGAACTTCTAAAATGGAACCAATGATATATATATTATGAAACTCTGAAGGAAACCAAATTTAGCATTTGGCTAGATACAGATGAAAATAATACTCATCTCTGATATGCACGCTTTTGTGCAAGGAATGGATGTCACCTGCCTGATTCCTCCCAGAGGTCCTCTGTAAGAAGCACTAATACAATTTGGAAGAATAAATGGTGATCAGGTCAGATTTTCTAACTTAAATTTAGTTTCATTCTGATGTCTTCTCTAAGTATCCAAGTATCTATAACTTTCTATCTACATGAACTTGGGGAATTTAGCTCAGTCTTATTTTTTTTCTCATTACTTTATTTTATGTTTCCCCAAATGAGATTCTTAGGGACTTGCCATAACCTGACCCAGCATCATTCAAATCTTTTGTTGATGTGTGGCACCACAATGAACTATAACACAGCAGCTGTTTCAAAAGTCTTGTTTGATCGTTTTGAAGGAACATGGAGTGTGGCTTTTACTGTTGATCTTACTAATGGCTAAACATGGGTCTCTATTCATAGGGATAAGATGTTAACTCAATCTAAAGAGGACACTTGGGAGCAGTAAGTAATATGCTTTCTGTGTAGTAAATATTCTGTGAATATTTTATAAATGTAATTGACTCTTTAAAGAACTTCATAATAACTATATTTGCTTTGGGCAACTTGTCTAAATTATCTTATGGGGTTTAATGGATCTTTTGTAGGGTGATACTAACTTATTATCCATTCATATTTCCATTTTCTGGAACACAGTATCCAATTACACTTCTCTCCCTAGTTCTTAGGACCAAACAGGACCTCTCATATGCTAGGAAATCAATCTACAACTGTGCTATACCCACAACAAACCTTTATTGCCCATTGAGATGTCACACACATTTCATAACAAGGACATTTATAGTTTCCTGGAAAAAATTTTTTTTTCTTAGACACCTAGTAGAAAAAAAGTCATAACTTTTACAGAAGTCCTTACTGGACATTATTGATCTCATTTGTTGTGTTAATTCTTTAGCACAAATAGCTTTATAACTTACTTTAGTGTTTATTTTTACATTATAAGATAGTTTGCTGTCAACAGTTAGCTGAGTTCAACAAGTAATTTTTGAGTGATGGCCATCAATGAGGCAGTTTTTGGCATTAGAAGGAATTGTGCATTAATACCCTTGAGTATAATGAGGTTTAACATATTAAGCATGGTAAGGTCAATATCAGAGAGACAGAAACAGAGACAGAGACAGAGAGACAGTGACAGAGAGGAGAGAGAGAGAGAGAGAGAGAGAGAGAGAGAGAGAGAGAGAGAGAGAGAGAAACAATAATCTAAAAAGTTCTTATTAATAAAAAACCTGGAGCCAGATACTGGAGTGAAAGCTAAAAGATCAGAGGAATAGAACAAGCCAGCCACAAGTTCTTACTGCTAGGAAATCCTCAGCCCAAGAGAGAGCTACTTCCTGTATACTCATGCCTTATATATCTTTCTGTGCGCTGCCACCTTACTTCTCTCTGCCCAGGTCTATCATTCCTGTCTGTCTGTACAGACCTCCAGACCTCTATGATTAACTAGTGCTGGGATTAAAGGCAGGTGCCACCATGTCTGGCTCCGTTCCCAGTGTGACCTTGAATTCACAGAGATAGGATGAATCTCTGCCTCCCGAATGCTAGGATTAAAGGCATGTGCTACGACTGCCCGACCTCTGTGTTTAATACAGTGGCTGGCTTTGTCCTCTGATCCCCAGGCAAGCTTTATTTGTTAGAGCAAATAAAAAATCAGAGAGAGAGAGAGAGAGAGAGAGAGAGAGAGAGAGAGAGAGAGAGAGAGATTATGTGTACTCACAGTCATAAAAATGAATTAAATAAATCTTAAAAAAGAATCAACTGCAATCATAGCACCACATCTGTCTTGGTGCTTTGCAAAATTAGTTTCATGGTAAAAAAAAATATATATATAAGTAATCCTTAGGCCCAGATCTGTATTTAACCAGTTCAATTTCCCACAGAATAAGTTTTACATTTATTAGCTCCCTGGAGGACCCAGGTGATTGCTTGGGTATCTCTAAGTGGAAAAATATAGACTCTCCTATATAGCAAACATTAAAGTTTGAATATTCAAGTATTTAAAGGTATATCAAAACTTCTCAGGGACTTTGGTGTTTTTCTTGTCTCTTACATTCTTGATAGCTTTCTTTGAAACAATAAGCCCAAGATTTGCTTCTCAGTTTCCCTTTAATCCTAAATTAGCAACATTAAGTAGACAAAATTCTTTATCATCATTTCTGTTTTGAATACCTAAATTTCAAACCCTTCACCATAGGATACAAACGAGGGAAAAACTTACAACAAGTCCAGATTTTTTTTTGGCGCACAGTATTCCACATATGCCACAAAGAAGAAACTGAAAAAGAAAAGAAGAATTATTGAATTTACATAGAGAGGAGAAGCTTAGATTTTTTAACTTACTATAATCTGTTCATGACACTTGTTACCAGGAAGCTTACATGTTTTGGATTCCCGTCAACCCCCTCCAAAATACCTTGTTGTGGAATATCAAAGGCTAAGTGTTTTTTTTGTTTTTGTTTTTGTTTTTGTTTTTTTTTTTTTTTTTTTTTGTAAAAGCTAATTGTGAGACCTAAGCAAAACTTAAATCAGTTTGTCACCAGGAAAAAAAATGCAAAGTAAAGAAACTAGAATTTTGCTCCTCCTGCTTTATTCCACTGTCTTTTCCTTTTCTGCTTTCTCAGAGACAAACATGTTATACTGCATTCACTTGTAGTAAGCACTTAGACCTCAATGGGTTATTATATGGATAGGGAAGATAACCCAGATAAAAAGATTAGACTTCAAACAAGGAGATCATCCTCCAGATAGACATTATTTGTACTTCTCATTTTGGAACAATGACTGCATCATTTTGACAGGAAGATTGTCTCTCTGAGTATGTCTGAAGAACTCAAACAGATGAAGCAATTGATGGCATACAATTTCATATAAACAGAAACTGATTACAAAGCTGCTTTGCAGAACCAACTACATTAAATCATCTACCCATGATAAAGATATTTTGTATCATAAAATATTCAAGTGTTTAATTTATATAGAAATATTTAGGACTGTTTGAATGCAAATTTGTTCATACTTGAGTTGGCCTAATCTGTAGCTAAAATAATTAATAAATAAATAATAAGAAAGTTAATGGCTTTCAGATATACTAACAAACCTGCTTCCATTTGATTTTCTTTTTTTTGAGGCAAGATTTCTTTTCTTTTCTTTCTTTCTTCCTTCCTTCCTTCCTTCCTTCCTTTTTTTTTTTTTTTTGAGACAGGATTTCTCTGTGTAGCTTTGTGCCTTACTCACAGAGATCCGCCTGGCTCTGCCTTCTGAGTGCTTGGATCAAAGTCATGCGCCACCACCGCCCGGCTCCATTTGACTTTTAATTTTTTTTTTTTGGTAGTATATAGTTAGTAAGGTTCTTGCCACCAAACCTGACAACTTGAGTTCAATTCCTGTGACTCACATAGTGGATGGAAAGAACCAACTCCTGCAGGTTGTTTTCTGATGTCCATATGTGTAAACACATGTACACACACACACACACACACACACACACACACACACACACACACAATTTCATAAATAAATGTAATAAAAATTTCAAAATATCTCAAATCATAGATAATAATTTAACTAGTTTTAACTAAGTATTTTGCATCTGGATATATTTTTTATAAAACATATACCAAAGTATTCTAATTCTTCTCTGAAATAATATGCTGTGGTGATATTGTGTTCCCCAATATATTGTGAACACTAATAAAGTTATCTGGGGTCAGAGAACAGAACAGCCACTAGATATAGAGGCCAGAAAATGGTGGCACACACACCTTTAATCCTAGCATTCCAGAGGCAGAGATCTATTTGGATCTCTGTGAGTTCAAAGCCACACTGGAAACAGCCAGGCATGGTGACACATGCTTTTAATCCTAGGAAGTGATGGCAGGAAGCAGAAAGGTATATAAAGTGTGAAAGCCAGGAACTAGAGCCTGGTTAAACTTTTAGGCTTTTAGCAGCAGTTCAGATGGGATTCATTCTGGATGAAAACTCAGAGTTTTCCAGTTTGAGGAAAAAGGATTAGCTTAGAAGTTGGCAAGGTGAGGTTAACTCTGTGGCCTGTTCTGTATCTCTGATCTTTCAGTGTTCACCCCAATACCTGACTCCAGGTTTGTTTTTATTAATATTTTCTAACAACTCATGCTACAATATACATGCGAGGAATATATTGAAAAACAATGGGCAAGGGGAGCTGCTGTGAAGGGACTCTCCTGTAAGAGAACATGACAGTTATAAACCAGGTAGTATGTAGCAAGAGAAGTTAGTGAGCACAGGATACACAAAAAATTGGTAAAGACATTAGACAACCTTTCAAATTACTGGGGAAATTATAAGAACTGCTAAATGGTCTTATTAATAAAAAACCCAGAGCCAGATATTGGGGTAAAAAGCTGAGAGATCAGAAAAGCAGAATGAAGCCAGCCATGTTCTTACCACTTGGAGATCCTCCGCCAGAGAGACCTACTTCCTGTATACTTACGTCTATATCACTTTCTGTTCTGCCATCTCATTTCCTCTCTCTGCCCAGATATATCACTTCCTCTTCCTGCCCAGCTCTGTCACTTCTTGTCTGTCTGTACAGACCTCCAGACTTTTATGGTTAGTGCTAGGATTAAAGGTATGTACCACCACAACTGGCTCTGTTCTCAGTGTGGCCTTGACCTCACATAGATCCAGACAGGTCTCTGCCTTCTAAGTGATAGAATTAAAGGTATGTGCCTGACCTCTATGTTTACTATAGTGGCTGGCTTTTTCCTCTGATCCTCAGATAAATTTTATTGGGGTACAGATAAAATATCATCACAGATTAGTTATTTCATCAAAGAATTTAGCTAATCTTTCCAAACATCATATAGGAAAATTAACATGGAGTAAATTGAATGTTTATATGTACAAATTTTTGCAAATGTCATAGGAGAAAACAATTTAGTATATTTGCATAAATTCAGATAAGTAAGAAATATTTTTCTAAGTATAAAACCAATGTTATGAACCAAAATATATATTGAACTTTTGTAGAGTCTTTTGTATTGTTTCTATCTCACAGGTTTCAAGACTGTGCTCAAGCAATTCCAGTTTGGACAAATTATGTTCTTTTTAGCTCCGCAAGCTTTAGATCAAAGCCTAAGCTTTCCCTTCTCTTCAAATTTCACTAACTAATATGTTATTCAACCTGAAAGTCAATTCACCCAAATTTATTTTCAAATAATTTGGTAGCAGCACATTTTTGTTCCTTCATTTGCCTTGAAATCTATATATACTGCCATTATTTATTTACAGCAAAACTCAAAGGGACAGAACAACACAAGCAGAATTCTCCATTCAGACCACTTGGTTGAGACCCCTAGATGTGAGGAAATGTTTCCTTCCTACTGTGCCACTTCACTTGGATGGAGCTAAGGACTTGGGGAGGGAGAATGTATAGTAGGAGAGAAGTTAGGTGACATTTTTCAATTGACCTTCAGTCAAGTATTTAAAAAAACCTTCTGTAATAGTTATTTTAGTTAGGGTATTTAAAATAATGGAAATTTGGAGTACAGTTGAAGAGCTTTTGGCTTAAACTTAGCCATCATAATTTATGGAGAAGAGTAGCACCCCAACAAAGTAGTCAACTTACCTTTTATTCTATTGTTTATCTTTATTTACAGCAAGTCATGGCACTGAAAAGGTACTTCACAGGTGGTCTAATCTAATTAGTCTTGGTCTTTACATATAGGGGCCTGGAGAACTAGAAGCCCAGACAAGTTTATTAACTTACTAAAGATCACACATGGAAGTTATCAGTCACACATATAATTGAAGTCTTTATTAAGTGTCGGTTAATTTGTTTATAATTATTTACTGGAAATAATTTTAAAAACAGTTTTTAATGTGACCACAGTATGCATTACACTAACAAAACACCTGCTCACCTACAAGGACACTCTTTGACCTTATCAGTGTTAACATTTGATGTAATAAAATAAATGGAAAGTTAGTAATTGTACTATAGTCTAAACTTCAATCCCTTTATAAGGGCATTTGCTAATTTGAAGTATTTTTTATAAGTATTTTATCCAAGATGCAAAACACTTACGCTCATCATAGAAATTATTTAAGTAAAAAGCTGATGGTGGTCAGGTGTGTGCATATGTGTGTGTGTGTGTGTGTGTGTGTGTGTGTGTGTGTGTGTACACATGTGTGTGGTATGTGTTTGTGTGTACACTTGTGTAAACAGCTTGAATAAAATACATGATTTTACATGAGAAATATTAAGTGAATGGAAGGTTTTTATTTTTGCTATGAAACAAAAGTGATATAGTAACACAATGATAAGTCATCAAGTGCTATACTACAAAATTAAGTGAATTAGAGGCATCCAAGATCATCAAACAATGTGAAGCTATTATGAAATTAGCATTCTATATTTTAAGTGAGTGGAACTTTTTAGGAAAAGACCATAGAGATTATTGTTTTTGTTTTTGGCATAGAAACAAGCAGGTATATAATTTCTACTCCAAAATGCAGAATGATAACTTTTCTAGAGCCCGCTTAAGAACTAAGATTCTAAAACAATAAAAACATTTTGATCAGAGGATAAGCAAAGTCCTCCAAAGAAAGTCTGGAAAGTCAGACTGTTACCTGTTGCAGAACACAGGAGAGATAAAAAAACACAGGTACCCAATGTGTGTGTGTGTGTGTGTGTGTGTGTAGATGTTTGTGTAAAACCCTGTTTCTTTCTTAGTCATCCTCTTTTTAAGAAACAATATCTATAAGTACTAGAAGAAAGCTAGCAAATATTAATAGAATATTATTTTAAGGTATGTTACTTTTGTTTATGTTGCATTTGTTTAACTCTGTGAAGCTGTGATACTGTGCCTGCCTAAAACACCTGATGTTCTAATAAAGACCTGAACAACCAATGGCAAGGCAAGAGAAAGGATGGGGGGTTGGCAGGCAGAGAGAATATATAGAAGGAGAAATCTGGGAGGAAAAAGAGAAGTAGCCAGAGAAGAAGGAGGACTTCAGGGGCCAGCTACTCAGCTACCTAGCAAGCCACAGAGTAAGAGTAAGATTTACAGGAAAACAGGAAAAGCCCAGAAGCAAAAGACAGACAGGTTAAGTTTAAGTTAAAAAAAAAAAAAGCTGGCTAGAAATAAGTCAAGCTAAGGCCATGCATTCATAATTAAGAATAAGCCTCTGCATATGATTTATTTGGGAGCTGGGTGGTGGGTCCCTCAAAATAGCAAAAACAAACAACATTTTGGTGTACCAATGTGGTGCTCGAATTTCTATAGTGGCTGAGAA